CGATTCAATTTTCGATCTAACCCGTAATAAACCAGTCCTCTTTATGGGAGACTTTAATGCCCATAATCCAATATGGGGTTCCCAGGTCAGTTACTCACGGGGAATTAGAAGTGGGAACATTCTTTATGATTTCATTAAGGATCACGATTTGTGGGTACTAAATGATGGATCAGCTACTCGGCTCACACGCCCAGGCGTACACAGCGCTCCAGATGTAGCTTTTTGCTCCCAGAGACTGTCTGGACTTGCTGACTGCAGGGTTCTCCAGGATAGAGTGAATAGCGATCATTTTCCTATTTTGTGTATCATCGGAAATAACCGTTGCAACTCAGGTTCGACAAGAAACTACACTAGCAAATATAATTTGAACAAGGCAGACTGGGAGAAATTTTCCGATTTAATCTCCACCAAATTTAGAACTTCACCTCCTATAAATTATGAGGATTTTATGAATATAATTTTCCTATCTATTGCAGAATCTGTTCCAATGCATAAACACTCATTAAACTACGGGTTACCTTGGTGGGATAATGAGTGCACCAACGCTATTAAAAGGAAAAGACAAGCATTCAGAGATTATAAAAACAACCCCTCTGAGACCAACTTCCTGGAATCATTAAGAACCCGGACACAAACAAGACAGCTGCTACGTAAGAAGAAAAAGGAAGGCTTTGTCAACTTTTGTGAGAATCTATCTCCAAATACTAGTGCAAAAGAAGTTTGGAGCAGTATTAGACGGTTTGCTAAAGGTATCAGGTACCAAAATTATCATTTTCCCTTGAATTTCTCAATCCCACAACATATGTTTGATCTTTTGACGCAACCTCCCTCTATGTTGCGTAACATCCCCGAATGTCGCTTCTGATCAGAATATACAGAAGACTTCCATATCTCAGAATTTGTCGCGGCTGTTAAAGGTCGGAAGAGCAAGAGTCCCGGTGTGGATAAAGTACCTTTCAGTGTGCTCAGCCATCTCCCTGTTGAAGGAGCAGTCTTTCTTATCAATTTTTTCAACAAAATACTTCGGAGGGAAACCACCATTCCAGAGACGTGGAAAACCCAAATGGTGATCGCAATTCCTAAACCGGGGAGAGACCCCTCAGCGTTATCGTCCTACAGGCCCATCAACCTAGCTTCTTGCATAAGCAAAACTTTTGAAATTATGATCAAAAACCGACTGGAATGGTTCGTAGAGAACCAAGGTTTAACACGTTGACTGCCGACTACGAGATAACTCGTAGGTAGCGATCTTTTCAAGGACGCCAACTACGAGTTATCTCGTACTGTATTCACTTGCCATTCTTCTGTTGCTACGATTAAACTCGTAATATATCAGTGCTAATATCGATAGATGGCTTCTTGGGAAAGAACAAAAAATCAATGTTGGCTTGCATGAAAAGACAATTTATTTGAAAACGAACATAAAAAATGTAAGTGTAAGAATTAAGTCAAATTACAGAAGTATAATAATATTTACTGTTTGTGGAACTTTTTAAAACAATCTTCCACACACAGAGCTGGCTTTTCACTACATACTGGACAGTAATAACGCGTTTCTCGGCGTGTTTTTCCTTGGTTGCATATGCGACATAGTTTCGTTGGACTCTGTTTTTTTTTCGGTAGGCGGTTGCGCCATCTAATCGTCTTTCTTAGAGATGAATAATACGAAAGCATTTGATCTGATCGATCAATGCCAGACATTCCATTGTTGTAATCTCGAATTATATTCGGTTTCATAGAAATTTTTCCATTGCGATTGGGCACTTCTATCATTTCAACAATATGCATGTTTGAAATGCAAAGGACATCTCGCTTGTCTTTCCATTTGCAAACAGTAACATTTACGATTTACCAAATCTCTAGGGTTCCCTTCTCTGTTATTTCGTAGGGTTCCACACACATACGTTTTTCGTGTATTTAGCAGTTTTGTAAGTGTAACAGAATTATAAAAATTATCCATGAAAACCGTGTATCCTTTATCGAGATAGCTGTCAAGTAAATGTAAAACAATATCAGTAGTGTGGCCTACGTTATTGTCAGTTTTCTCAGATTTTCCACAAAACGAGACCATCGGACTCACAAAATTCATACAGTTTGATCCCATTTGTGTTTCTTATTTTTTATGTATTGGCGGAAAATCAATCTTCCCCGCCATAGCATCATAGACTCATCAATACAAATATTTTTATCTGGTACATAGTTTTCCCGCATAATATTGTTGAAATGATTTAGAATTGGTCTTACCTTGTATAATCTGTCGGTAGACGGTATTGAGTAATCAACCAAATGAAAATAACGAAGTAACAACTGGAATCGATTTCGACTCATATGTGAGCGCCAAAAGAGTACATTATATACCTCGTTTGTGCTCCAGTAATGTTCAATTGATGGAAAAGAGTAAGGTCCCATTTGCAGCAGAAGTCCAATAAAAACTTTCATCTCAGCAACACTAACGTTTTGCCAATTTGATAACCTGTTGGTTTTCTTTATTGTTGTGCGTTTTTCAATTTCTTGAGCAACATATAAATTAGTTTGTTCCACCAGTAATGCAAGAAAACTGGTTTCAGAAAGGGTAAGGGAACTTTCGACAATCTTGCAGTTATCTCCTCAGAGGTCCTCTGCCGTTTGGCTCGCAATCAACTAGCAGCAATGGTGACTTTGGACATATCCAATGCCTACGATAATATAAATGTTGACTTATTGACCTCGGTGTTGGCCAAAATTGGAATCGCCAGAGATTTGACTTTGCTCATTAAAGATTTTCTCACGAACAGGAAGATACAAGTTAAAGATCCATTTACTAATACATTCGTGTCAGGCAGAACCACCAGCAAGGGAGTTCCCCAAGGTTCCCCTCTTTCTCCATTACTATAATATCTACATCAATTCAATTAAAGAAACAATTCCTGAGAACATAAGACTTTTACAGTTTGCGGACGATACCGCCTTGCTGAGTACTGGGACTGATGCCCAAACAATAGTGAACAATTTGAATAGAACTTTGCAAAATATACATATTTGGTCTTTGAAAGTAGGGCTTGAGATTAACCCCAATAAATCTGCAGCTATATTTTTTTCCAGGAAGAATTACAAGGTTAATTATCTCCCCAGACTTCACCTCAACACTCGAACCATTGCATGGAGAAATTCCATCACATATCTAGGAGTGATTTTTGATCCAAAACTGTTATGGGAGCCACAAATTAGAAATATGATACAGAAAGCTTCAGGTGGATTGAATATGATGCGATTTATAAGAAGAATCTGGTAGGGGGCACATCCCTCTACCCTTCTAACTTTTTACAAAGCTTATGTTAGACCCCATTTGGATTATGGAGCCTCTTTTTTGGGTGGTAGCTCAAGAAAGTCTATTGCTCAACTTAACAAAATTCAATTTGAGGCACTGAGAATAGCTCTGGGATATATGAAGTCCACACCTACTAACATACTTCTAGGGGAAGCAAGTGAAATGGATTTAGAACACAGAAGATACATGCTAGCGACTAAATCATTATTGAAAGCTGCCAGTTTAGTGGACAGTGAAACCTTAGCTGCGGTTAGATGGTTATATATCACCTATAATGAAAACTATTACTTTTTTCGGAAAAAGAGCATTCCTGCACTTGTGGTTGCTTTTTGAAAGAGTTGATTCACTGTTAGATACACTTTACAGGAGCCCAGTTTATCCCTGTTTCTCTTGTCCACTGCCGAACCTTTTAAACTCTGTTCAAATCCAAGACTTAAAACTAAAGAAAGATAATAATAACTCCAAATTATTTGAAATTAAGAAGAGCGAGACTTGGACCCGAGATTTTCATTTGATTTTTACAGACGCCTCAAAAGATAAAGAAGGCCGAGTAGGTTTTGGCGTTTACAACTACAATACGAACCTTAAAATGGGACAAGGCCTACCAAGTGAACTATCCATTTGCTCTGCCGAGATTTATGCTATTGGTCAAGCTCTTGATTGGATTGAATTCAAGGACATCAACAAAGCAGTCATCCTTTCAGACTCCAAAAGTGCCCTCGAAGATATCAATAAAACTGGGTCTAACTACCTAACCTTGCAGGTTAAGAATAAACTATTTACCTTAATAAAAACGCAAAATAAGGACATCCAATTATGCTGGATACCAAGCCATACCAGTATAAAAGAAAACGATATTGCGGACCAGATCGCCAATGCTGCACGCCTCGAACCACAGGAAAATATAAAATTGAGCTTTAGGGAATTCTTCCCTAAATTAAAGCATAACATCTGGAATGCTTGGAGCGACAGATGGAAACATATAGGATTAGGGAAAGGAGTTAATTTCACCTCACATTATTCTACTCCGCCAACTAAACCCTGGTTTCATAAGCTCGACCTGAATAGAAGAGAAATCACAACTATGTGTAGACTGAGAAGCAACCATTGCTGTTCTCCGGCTCACCTAAATAGAATCAAAGTCAAACTTTCCGGAGACTGTGAATGTGGAGAACTGGGCGATTTAAGTCATTTGCTGTTTGATTGTGCTCTTCATTGGGAAAAATCACAACAGTTGTATGAGTCACTCATTAGTGCTAATTTTCCTTCGCCTCTGCATATTAATTCCATTTTATTTCACCGCACTCAGTTGGATTTTGCTGCTAGAATTGTTTGCCGCTTTTTAGATGCATGTGGATTAAAACTTTGAATATTGTTTTCACATTTTCTAATTCTTTCGTCCATTTTTTTTTCCTGTATAGCCGTCCAGTAGGATGATGGTATCACCCAGACCCTCTTTAGGGAGGCATCCTTCATGGAAATAGTTTATTGCACACCACTACCGAGAAGCTGACCGAATTGCATTAGCAGCAGTGGCCAAATAAAGCGTGATTAAAAAAAAAAAACCTCTCCAAAGGTGAAGCATTGCGCGCGGAGGTTTAACCTCTGTTCGCTCTCAACCGAATCTTTTGTAATCGTAAAACTTTGAAATCGGTATCCACAGTGTTGTTTTAGTGTTTTTAGTGTTCAGTGAATGTTTTAAAGTTATAATCCTGGTTGGCTCCGTCGTTTTTTCCTGTTCACGCCGGTATGGAGGCCGGATGGAACCGGATGGTCCGCGGGGGGAGCGGAGAAGGTCGTTTTTTGTAATCGGTCAAAGAACTATTTTTTTGTTGAAATTCCATTTTGTATATGTAACAAATCCGGAGGATGATGGATTGGTCCAGACCCTTCTCTTAAGAAGGCATTCTTTAAGATATTTGAATAATGTTCACAATTGTGTAAGCTGGCCGAATGACCTTATGTAGTCGTGGCCATTAAAAGTAAAGAAGAAAGAAGAACCTCTCCAAAAAGCAACAAGTGTAAATAAATGAAAGCAATACAAATTGCCGTTAGTTCGGAAATAAGAAAGAATACAGGACGATCGTCTCGTGCAATCCAACCGCATTCCGCCGTAACATCTCAAATTGCAGCAAAAATACAAGGACTTACACTTATTTACATTTATTTTAGGACAGGCAAACCACACCAAGCAATTAAACAGTTACAGTGTGTTCAAACAGAATGAAGTAGTGAAGAATAATAGCAATACCAGTCGCTTTGAGGATTAAGACCGTGTGTAATTGTGAGAATAAAACATTTAATAGGTAGTCTCCGAGCATTATTAACCTACATGTGAGAAACAAAAGTCGAAGTAGCCAATGACAAATTGAACCCGTTACAATGGGCATGTTGATTTGTTGGCAGGACACCGTTCCCTTGGATGGATGGATAATCTGCAAAATGTGCATTTTTTCTTCGCGATATCTTCTTTATTTCCCCCATTTCGGAACGAGACGGTTGATTTGGCAAAGCCGCCTAATGGGCCGCGGCCACTTCGCGAGAGGTTGATTTTTTGTTGCTGCTGACGAGCTCGTTGTTCTTGGAACCCTGCGACGCCTATCACCGCGTTTCCGCTGTTGCCCGTACGATGCGGCATGGAACTTTGAAGTTCTCTGGTTTGACTGGCTTGCATTTCCGCTTGTTTGGCTTCCAAGACGCACTCGGTTAGGATTAATTGCGGTTTTAATTGTAATCTTTCACTGGTTTTTCGATCTAGCATAACTACAACGATCCTGTCCCTTATCAATTCTTCTTTTAAAGCACCAAATTGGCAATGTTGGGCCAGAGAATGCAAATTTGTAATGAAGTTTTCAACTGGCTTGCCAGGTTGTTGTGATCTGTCATTGAATATAGTGATATTAAAATTTTTCAAATTAAATAATTGAATATTTATTTCTAAATTATCTTTTAGTTTCCTCACAAGAGTATCAATCGATGGGAAAAAAATATACTTAATTTTTTGTTTAAATTTAAATTGAAAGTAATTCTGCCATCACACTGCCATTTTGATGTTAAGTAGGAATATTATATCTACCAAATTATTTGACTTTTTCAAAACTATAAATATTTAGTACAAAACAAAATCAGTTTCAGTAGAAGCCGGTAAAATCTAATTTCAAATTTTATGAATATGTGCGTATTATGATCAACTTTATAAACAAAAACCATCCAAAAAATAGCGCCATTTCGCCCGGTATATCAGGTAATAATATAAAGGCATAATTACATTTGTTGAGCTATTTTATAACAAATTAAATAAAATACAAGTGTAAGCACGGCTCAGATAGCAAATTAATTTATAAAATGCGGTAAAATTATATTACTTTGATTAATTATCTATATAGGTGGTTTCCACTATATAGTGTACATACAAACAAAATAAAATTAACAGTTTACAAAAAAAAGTAGATGTTATTGGACATGACATAAAGAACAACAATTTACGCTATTGCATAGGTAGGTATTTCATTGGCATCTAAGGGATTTTTATTTAACAATTGGCATTTTCTTACTTTTCTCAAATTTTAATGCAATTTCAATTTTTTCATACTTTTCATATTCATAACTACTTAGATAACTTTTGCTTTTTGACTCTTGGGTATTCTAGGTAGCTGGTTCATTTTTTGCACAATCCAAAATGTTTTCATTGACAACCATATTCTGAAAATAGTCGCAGCTAGAGTATTGGATAGAGATATTGATAAATCAAATTGCTTATTGAATGAAGTTAAAAATCATCAATAATTTTAGCTGTGAGAACAACGTTTTTATTAACCTTTGATGATTCGTGATAATCGCTGTAAGCAATTTTCCTAGTAAAAGGTACCTAAATACAATTTTACTTAGACCGCAATGATTTATTTAAAATAATTGAGAACCTTTAAACAAACACATTTATGATTGGTTTAGCTCTTTGATTAATTAAAATGCAACTGAATCTTTTAAGCTGAGTCACTGGAAATATTATCAAATAGATGTATTTTAAAAAAATTGTAATGTAAACAAATAATAGTTATTTTCTATTCAGGAAAATTCTTTCTCCACGTAAACGCTTTGCCGGCCTGCCTCCCGCGCTACCCCGAAGGAGCGCGGAACGTCCCGATACGATTTTGGACAAATGAACATTTGGACAAATACGGCCATCTCAACGAAACTGACGTGGTAAAGTGACGCTTCCCGCACGCTAGATTAGTGTGTAAATAGGTATTTTACATACGGAAGTAGAAAAAGATTATTTTGCATTATGTACCAACGGAAAAACCAACAGACAGATATTTTAAAGAAAAGCTTTGTCAAATCCAAAATTCAAGAATTATAAAAATTGTTTGAACTTTGTTGAAAAATTAGCATAATCCTGTTGTTTTTCTGCACGTAGCTATGTTTACTTTTGTTTTTAGTTATTTCCATTTTAAAGGCAATGTTTATGTTGTATTACAGAATTTTGGGGGAGTATCGTGGGAATTTGTTTTCTTAGATACAATTCTGTAATAATATTTAGTTTTGTTTATATGTTTTATATGTTTGAATATATGTCGGAAATGTGATGACAGGCGTTAACGTGTCCTGTGGAATATATTTAACAGTTTTCTTGATAATAGATCGCCCAAGTACAGTAAAGTGGTGTATTATTCAAGATCCACGAACCTTCTATAGTATCGAGGTAAGAAAAGGTCTATTGACATTTGCAATAACAAAGTTCTGGACACAACCAAAATGCTACGTCAATGACTGCTACTTTTGCATTGTAAATCCATGTAAAAGACGTAGAGGTAAAACTGCAAAACCAATCTAATATGCCTATCTTGAATCTCTTCTGCGCCAATTGCGCACGACCTGACACGAACAGCACCTGACATGAACAGTACCTGAGCCACCAAAAAAATTATCGCAGAAAAGCTGCTCATCTCTCTAATAAAAGTAATTTTGATAAGGAGTTTTTACCTGCACTGGAACAAAAAAAAATCTTATTACTACAGAAGAATTTAACAACTTGATAAGGGATTTTGTCAAAAAAAAAAGCAGAACTTTTAAAATCTCGCTTAAAACAATGGAATTTGTTTGATGTCAAAATAGCATAAATGGTATGTTCGAAGAAATTGGCATACCCTGTGTTTGAACGTGTACGAATTATTTATTGACAGTTCTACAAAGAGCTTCAAAGCTGCTTTATTACACAACGGAAATAAATTCCCACTCAGTACATCTAAAAGAAATTTATGAAATTACTAAAATCTTGCTTGAATTCGTAAAGCATCGCGAGTATAACTGGCAGCTGATTGGAGACTTTAAGATGATAGGGTTGATGAAACAACTTGTTAATAATAATAATAATAATAATAATCATGTATTGTCTAACAGATTCGACATCCATTTACAAGACAATCTAACAAGCATGTGATACATCATTTAAATACAATATAGCAAAATGTATAAACAAATTAAAGAGCTCACACTTGTACTCCTACCTTAGAGCCTATGCGTGATACAATATCAATTGCCTAAACAAAAAAAATTGTTTTGAGAATGTTTGATAACTAATTATAGGAGAGGTTGAAAATGTCAATATCACTATAACGGCCATTTAAAAGATACATAGCATTGTATAAGGGAGTTTTTATAAGGAAATTTGGAGATTGGGTAGGCAGGTGGAAAATTGGCGAACTGCGGACAGGTTTTTGAGGAACATGGAGGGATAATTGCATTAAGAGCTCCGAGCAGTCAATCCTGGACAGAACAATTTTGCAGAGGAAGATAACCGCTAGATAGTTTCTTCGCCATTTTAAAAACGGGAGTTCAAATCTTTCCAAAAGTAATGACTGTTCAGTACCCCGCGCCGGAAATACTCCGTCAGTTTTAAATGCCAGGAATTTAACGAACTTTCTCTGTATACCCTCCAATTGGTCTATATATTTAGCGTGAATGGGGAACCAAATTGTCGCACAGTGCTTGAGAGCCTGAATGTTCCGAAACTGTTTAGCGTTATGAAATATAAAGCCCATCGATCTTGTTGCATCTCTGCAAATGGTTTCAATATGAGAGGCAAAGGACAATTTAGTGTGGTAGAAAATGCCAAGGTCTTTGAAAGAGGTGCGGATTCAGACGAAGATTGTTTGCCACACACCAGTTAAGAAATTAGATGAAACTTCAGAAGCTTTTGAATACTTGAATGTTTTTTCCGAAGTTATCTGAAGCAAAGGCTAATGCTGAAGTTTTTGTTGGTCCGCAAATTAGACAAGACTTTCGTCGATTAAAAATTTCCAATGCTGCTAAATCGTATTCAAAACGCAAGTTGAAACAGTTTTGAAACAATAGTTTTTGGATGTAGATAAATTTAAACAGCATGGGAGAGAGTTTTCATCAGTACACTATGAGCTTCGAACAACGTTATCATTACATTTGATTCATACAATTACAATGAAAACATGACGGGATATTATATTTGGAGTTTATTGAGAGAAAATACTTATGAACATAAAAGAAAAGCGTACACTTTTTAATTTTATTGCCAATTTTTTGGAAGTTATTATGATAATAAAACTTATAAACATATTTATTTGGATGGTTTTATTTTCAATTAAAAATTAGAACCACAGATTTTTTAAAATATCCTTCAATCGGTTTCCTAAATATAAAACTTTTTTATGTCATTTTTTTCCAACTAATAACGAGCAATATCGAAATTTAATGCTTTAAAATCAAAGTCAAATTTTGTGTTGACCCCTATAGTTTTTAAATATATTTTCGTTTTTTATTAAATCTAGATTCTAAGAAAATGAACAAATCCTGGCCTTTGGCATATTCTGAGAATATTATTAGGAGCAACTAATATTTACAGAACACTCAAATATCTCTTTTTCAATATTCTATGTGTATTTTAGGAAGAAGTGTGGATAGTAAGTATTGATGGAATATAGAATATTCGTTGAGAATATTCTATGCAAACCCATAAAGTGTACCATATTTAAATATTTTAATATGAGTCACCTGTGTGACACACTACTTTCTACCGAGTATACTTTGTCACACTATTTGGGGCCACCCTGTATTTACTTTTTTTATAACGGTTTTAATCTCTAAATTTAAAATTTGCATTGCACGCATTCACATTCTGCATTTAGACAAGTGAACTCCAAATTCCCACAGTCCTTTTTCAAGTTCTAGGGAACTCAAAAACTGTATAACTGAAACTATTTACAAATCTTCCGCTTCAATCTTTCTCACGTTGGCGCGTTCAGACATTAACTACTCTGTACTTACTTATATCTAGTTTGAAGGGGGCGGTCCTAAAGAATCTTAACCGCGACTCAGGTGTTAACCTTTCACCAATGTGGGGAATAAGTCATCTGAAACTCATCCAAGACAATATGAGTGTCCTTCCGTTAGCTCCGCCCCCCTCAAACGATTTTTTAAACATAGATCTTCCAATTTCATACATTTTAAAGGCCAGGGTAGCTCTTTTTTACCCACCTCGTATTAAAAAAAATATCCCTCTTCAAAACTAGAAAAAAACGTGCAAAAAGTACCCTGGCGTCCTACGATTTCCTCATGGTCAGCATAGTATTGATCTCCCACACGATGCGCCTCAAGTGATCTATCACCTCTTTCAACTGCTTGTTCTTCAGTATCACTTGCTCCATTACTTCTTTGCTCTCTTCGCAGGCCAGCCTGTACGTTTCCGAGTTTTTCTTCTCTTCGTGTTTCGGATCCAGTTCGTCGCGGAACGGAATCAAACTCTCGATGTGGGTGTACTCCATACCCTGAATCTGGCAGTTTTCATTACATTTCTCGTATATTAATCGCAGCCTCTTGAACAGGACGCGTATGGTGCGCAATAACTCCTGAACCTTCGCTTTCTTTTCGTTACTGGCAGTTGATGATTGCGTCGTACCGCTGGGAGGCTTAAACATGATACGTCATACACCTAATGACAAAGGAATGTAGTGTGGGGAGAGGGATATGGTGGTGACGCAAGAGAGATAGTGTCTATCAGCTGATTATTGGCAAAATGGTGATTTTGTATTATGTTCTAGCAGAAAACAATGAAGGGCAGTAAAACCTCTCTAAGGGAGGCCTAAGGGACGGTATGGGCAACATAGAAAAATATGTATGGTGGATTTTTGTTGCTTCCTCATACTTGTACATATTAGTAAATGCATGTTGCAATAAAAAAATGAAATATATAATAAATATAACACTATTTACAAATCTTCTGGATTCCTCCAACGTCGGTTGTTGCGTTTCGTCAATCATCCTGTTAGCATCTTTAGGGGTTAACTTAACACTATTTGTTCAGAGTTTAATTGAAATTTAAGTTAAGAAGCCAACAGGATGATTGGCGAAGCGTCAGCAAGTTCGATTTATCAACAACCGACGCAGTAGGAATCCAAAAAATTAACAAAAAGTATTATGAGGAAGCTTCTTTGTAAAATCATGTTCCATTTTTGTTTGTGCATATTGATTTGAGCGCAGTGTTTTACTGAAGAGAATTAGACTAGTTCATGTAAGTGTTGTCCTCTCACTAGCCTGCAGAAGTTTCTTTAAAAAATTAATAAATATAACTTACGACTGCTCAGATATTGTAGAGATTAAGCAATTTTCGGTCGAACAGGTGTTTGAATGTTGCGCAGCTAGTTATAGGGACAAATTATGTATTATATGTGTGTATAGGCCACCCTCAGGAGACTATGATTTATTTATAAATCAGCTCGAGGAGGTCTTGCAGTTCTCTGCCACAAAATTTAAAACAACTCTGCTTTGCGGGGATCTGAATCTCAATAGTAATAAAAAGGATCTTAAAATAATGAAATTATTCGACTTGTTCGATTCATTTGGTCTGTGTTCTCTTGTAAATTCACCCACAAGGAAACAGACCACGAATACTGGACGGATAAGTTCAACAACAATTGATTATATCGTTACAAACCTTCAAGACTCTAGTTTAACGCAAATTAATTTGGGGATATCAGATCACCTATCTCAAAAATTAACTTTTAAATACTACCTAAATAACACAATTTGTAACACAGCACAGAATCTTGAACAAAGAATTGTCTCCGACAGTAGCATTGCTGAATTCCGTAGCTATTTTTCAAAGGAAACCTTATTTCTTACAGGGTGTACGAATATTGATGAGCTATTTGATGTTTTTTGGGAATATCTGATATGGTGATTTGAAGTATCACATCCCAAGAGAAAATTTCCGAATAAAAACACGAAACATAAAACTTCTATACCATTTTCAGAAAAACTTAAAAGCGACTTTAGTAAATTGAAAGACTTAAACTGGAGTCGAAAAAATTCTAATAATGTAACGGTACACAAAAACTATAAAATGCTAAAAAATCTAGTAAATAAACAGATTGCCGAAGAAAAGAAGGCCTTTTTTTCTGGTTTAATAAATCTTTCTGACAAAAATAAAAAATTGTGGGAACTAGTTAACGATAAGTTGGGTAAAAAAAATATTAAAAATCGTATAAAAATCCGTGTCAATAATGCCATTGCCACTGACGATAAAATAATAGCGAACGAGTTCGGACATTTTTTTGCCACTCATGTACAATCGAAAGTTAATTCTATATTCAGTAAAAACGATACCGGTACTTTTCCACCCATCAGGGAGAAGAGTATGTTTTTCATGCCGTATACCGTGGGAGAAGTAGTGTCCTTAATTCACTCATTAAAAAACAAACAATCTTTGGGAATTGACGAAATACCTATACGACTTATTACAGCATGTAGCGATGTCCTGGCCCCATACTTAACTATGATTATTAATTCCTCTGTTTTATTAGGGCAATTCCCCTCGGCGCTAAAAAATTCTAAAATGGTTCCTGTGTTTAAGAAAGGGGATTCAACAGACATAAAGAATTACAGACCAATAACAATCGCAAGTTGTTTTTCCAAAGTCCTAGAGAAAGCCATGTACAATCGAATGACACATTTCTTAGAGCAAGAAGATATAATAACAAATGTGCAACATGGTTTCCGCGCTGGTCACTCTACGGAAACGGGGTCAAATGAACTTGTTCAGCATATCTATGATAAACTAGATATCGGAGAGACAGTAATCGGAGTTTTTTTCGATTTATCGCGCGCCTTTGACTCCTTAACCTTCAGTATAATGGCAAAGAAGCTGGAATGCTTGGGAATCAGGGGGCCTATCAATGATTGGATCATATCGTATATGAATCATAGGAAAATAAGTGTCAAAATAAATGGAATGTACTCAGACCTTTATAGCGTCAGCCTGGGCACGCCTCAGGGGGGAACTTTGGGTCCATTATTGTTTCTTTTATATGTGAACGATTTGCCGGAATTTCTCAACAGTGACTGTCGTGTCTTTATGTACGCGGACGATACGTCCGTCTTTGTCTCTGGAAGAGATGCAGAAGTGCTGATGGATGATGTATCTCTTGTTGTCTCACAGTTTAATAACTTCTGTAGGCAAAATCATTTGATCGTGAATGTAGAAAAGACAGTCGTTGTTGAGTTTACTGGTCAGTACATTAAACCTTTAGCTGGCTTATCGATCAGTTTTGCTGGTTCGCCATTGGAAATAAATCAGACCACGAAGTTTCTTGGTTCTTATATTGATAGCTCCTTGAGATGGGACCGGGACATTGACAATGTCTGCAATAAACTAAATAAAACCTTTTTCGCAATATTAACAATTAAAGATTCATTTCTTGAGAAGGCACTAATAGCTTTTTACTACGCGTCAGCTTACTCTTCCATTTCACACAATATTGTCAACTGGGGACAAGCGAATGATGCTGAGAGAGTGTTTATACAGCAAAAAAGAATACTTAGGCTGATTTTTAAACTTCCTCCGAGGCAATCATGCAAAGAGACATTTCAACGGCTCAAAATATTAACAATGCCTTGTATATACCTATTTAAAATACTTTTGATCACACATAAAAATAAATATTCACATAGGAAGCATACTGATGTCCACAGTTACAACACTCGCAATAGAGAACATCTGCTGAAGCCAAAACTCACTAAGTTACGCGGGACCATATTATTATAATTTGCTGTCTCCAAGCTTAAAAAATTTATCTATAAATCAATTTAAAAACACATCAAGAGGCTCCTAACGGCCAATGCTTTCTACAGCCTGAAAGAATTTGAAGCGTACCTGAGAGCATCGTAAATAACGTCAAAAGTTTACCGAGATTTTTCTAATGTATACTCTCTTTTATTTTAAATTATATTAACTTGTTTGTCATGTTTGTTATATAAATATATACTCGTATTCGTTCTACTCATTACTTAAGATTATGATATACATTGTTTTTACAATGAAACTTGTAATTTATTATTTGTATTTATTGACGAAACATCCATTGTATCACCTGGTTTTGTGAATAAATAATCTATCTATCTATCTATCTTAACTAGGCTTGAAAAAATCAATTATAGCAGTTTTTAGTGTGTTCTGTTGTAATTGCAAGTCAGCATCTGCGTTGCTTTAAATTTTTGCAAATTCTTGGATGGTTTCACCATACTGGTTTATTGCTTATAATATTGGATGGCTCAGTTATTTCATCATTGGATTGGATAGATTCAACGAAAGTGACGTTCTTGTCTTGCAATTTTGTTAATAGAATTGGTATCTTAGATTGGCTCAATTTATATCATCTTCTATTAATAAGTTAATATCGATAGCAATAAATTCTCTAAATTTATTGCTATCGATTTCAACGAAAAAATGATTTCGTTGAAATCATTTTTTTCAAGGCCAATTGCATTTCGCTATATTACGGATAAAACTGACAAAGATAAGTTATCTTTTTCTGAAAAATCATCATTTTCCAGATTATGGATATGACTTTAGAAACAGGTTTTAATTACTGCATCCGTGACTTTTCCCATGCAGCATTTATAATGATAAATAGCAATTAGAACATAAACTTCTTTAGTAAGAGTGTAATGAATGTTATCGACAAAGTCCATTTTTGATTACAAAGTCTTCTTGTTTATTTTGGATAACAGTAATTGGTCGATAGAAAAAAAAGGTTGAATGTTTTTTAAGTTTTTATCAAAATATACCTACCCCTAGATGTTTGCCAAACATTTTTCTTTATCTCCTGCGAGATGTACGCAATAGATAATTAAAAATGATGATGATGATGATGACGATGAGGATATTATTTGTCTAAAGTTCGCCCCATCTTGCATATTGACACTTCCAGCTTCCTTAGATACGGCTTTAAAAGCGATGTTTATCAAAATTTCTGCAGTCACCCAGCTGACGCACTGAAATTGCTGCTATTCAGACTCTCCAATATATTTTGCTATACGGAGTGTTTCACAGTTGATGGTACCTTAGACGTTTACGGCGGTGATTCTCTATTTTTAACGCGGCGACTTTGTCGCTTTTCCGGTCAAACTAATGATTTGCCTACCAGATGCAAAAATGGTGAAAAGTAAGGGAAAACCGGCTAAGATGACGAAGCGACTAAGATGACCAACTTTCGTTACAAATTCTAAAATGTAATAATTCTTCATGAAACTTATACGGACATCTAGAAATAAGTTTCAGAACTAAATTTTATACTTGCCTTGGTGCTGCAGTCTGCAGATCGATAGTTATTTGACATTTGCCGTTTGAACAGCTCACGTTATAACTTTTGTGCTCTTAAAAATAGTGTTTTATGGTATCACAACGCAAGTACTTGAATATTAATTAATCTGTATAGCAAAAATAAGGTTTAAGGCAATATATTGTAGTGTTGTTTGCCAAAAATAATAGATTTTGAATTAGTTTTGGCCGTTTTAATTTTGCGTGATGGTGGCGGGTAAGATGGCACGGCTAAGATGACGAATTCGTCATCTTACCCACAACGTATTTTTATGAACGAATTTTGTACAGTAATTGGTTCTGTGTTTTTCA